TTATATATGTGTGGAAGGTCCAGGGTGGGAGAAAGGACTCTTGTGCATTGGAGGCAAGTGTGAATGTTGTAATTAATCACCTTGATTAACATTTAATGGTCCTGCAGTTTCAAGGCCTGGCTGATTCCTGCCTGGGGAAATCCTTTGTTGGGAGGTGTTAGCTGGCCCTGATTGTTTCATGTCTGGAATTCCCCTGTTTTCAGAGTGCTGCTCTTTACTTACTTTCCTGATTTTAGAATTTTTTTATACTGTTAGCCAGATTTTGTTCATTTTCATGGTTTCCTCCTTTCTGTTGAAATTGTCCAGATGCTTGAGGATTTCAATGGCTTCTCTGTGTAGTCTGACATGGTGGCTGTGAGAGTGGTCCAGCATTTCTGTGTTCTCAAATAATATGCTGCGTCCAGGTTGGTTCATCGGGTGCTCTGGCTGAATCAGTTTGAAGTGCCTTTCATGTTCCTCGATTTGTGTTTGGGCACTTCATTTGGTGGTCCCTATGTAGGCTTGTTCACAGCTGAATGGTATATGGTAGATGTGGGTGAAACGTCAGGAGAGAATGCTTCTGGAAAATGGCCATACAGCCTGGAAAACTCACAGCAACCCATTGATTCCAGCCATGAAAGCCTTCGATAGCACTGTAATGTTTGGCCTTTTTAAAGAGATTGTGTGAAAGGCTCTAAATGATAGCCAGCTCCCACTACCAGCACTCTTCACATGCATGGCTAGGACGGCTGGAACTTGCAGTCCATCCTCATTGTGGAGGGCCACATGTTGTCCACCCCTCTCTCCAATTGGTGCCAACTGTTGTCCAATAAACAACCTTGGATTTAGGCCTGGAAAATGCACATTCATATGCCCTTGAACCCAATGAGTGATGAAGCCTGTTTTGGAAAAGTCCCAGCCAGCCTCAGTTCCTCATTTGTTGTAACTCAAAGAACTACCGTATTTACCCTAAAGAATGATTAGCAATTATTTATAATCACATTTGCATGTATTGCACTTTGCACAAGTGTAGAAATAATAACAATTTTGGATATGCAGTAAATGGAAAGTGTGGAGTTATGATTTAGTAACCAGGGTAAGTCTCAATAAGATGCCTAAACATATTGAGTAAGGAAAATATATCATTCTGAGGTTACTTGTGACTAGGTGTGCTTAGGGTTACAGGTTTAGGCCCCTTCTACACGGACATATGATAATCTGGATCATATGGCAGTGTAGAAAAGGCGTAAGAATGACAAGATTTTTTAAAGGAAATATGTTTTAACAAACCATGGTATTAATAGTGTGTCAACAAAAAACATAATGTTCCAAATCAGTGGGACACTTTGAGGGAAAGCCTTTAAAGTTCTCAAATGTTACTCAGTAAGTGTCCCGTGTCACTTATTTCAGATATTATCTTTCCAGATAATGCAAAAGACCACAATGAACCATGTGACCACTCTCGACACTGGGAATAATTATTCATTGGACTACAGTGAGCCCTTGATATCTGCTGGGATTTAGTTCCAGGGCACAGGCATACTCCCTGTTAATATCCAAATACATGGATGCTCAAGTCCCATTAAAAACAATAGCATAGTAACATGGCATCCACATATCAAATGGCAAGATCAAAGTTTGCCTTTGGGAAATTTCCAAGTCATGGATAGTTGAATTCAGGGAAGCAGAAATGGGAGGGCTAACTGTATTTGACTTCCCTCCACTCCAACAACCAAACTAGGACAAGCAATGCCTTAAATCCCCATAAGCAAACCAACACCACCACTAAAAAGAATGGATCAAAATCCTACTTGTACCACTTTCATCTTTTGCACTAGGATTCCCCCGTGGCGCAATGGGTTAAACCCTTGTGCTGGAAGGACTGCTGACTAAAAGGTCAGCAGTTCAAATCTGAGAGCAGGATGAGCTCCTGTCTGTCAGCTCCAGCTTGTCATGTGGAGACATAAGAGAAGCCTTCCACACGATAGTAAAACATCTGGATGTCCCCTGGGCATCGTCCTTGCAGACAGCCAGTTCATAGAATCATAGAGTTGGAAGAGACCTCATGGGCCATCCAGTCCAACCCCCTGCCAAGAAGCAGGAATATTGCATTCAAAGCACCCCCAACAGATGGCCATCCAGCCTCTGTTTAAAAGCCTCCAAGGAAAGAGCCTCTACCACACTCTGGGGCAGGGAGTTCCACTGCTGAACAGCTCTCACAGTCAGGAAGTTCTTCCTCATGTTCAGATGGAATCTCCTTTCTTGTAGTTTGAAGCCATTGTTCCATGTCCTAGTCTCCAGGGCAGCAGAAAACAAGCTTGCTCCCTCCTCCCTCTGACTACCTCTCATATATTTATACATGGCTATCATGTCTCCTCTCAGCTTTCTCTTCCTCGGGCTAAACATGCCCAGCTCTTTAAGCCGCTCCTCATAGGGCTTGTTCTCCTTACTCATTTTAGTCACCCTCCTTTGGACACATTCCAGCTTGTCAATATCTCTCTTCAGTTGTGGTGCCCAGAATTGGACACAATATTCCAAAAGCAACTTGCAGTTTCTCAAGTCGCTCCTGACATGGAAAAAATTGCACTCTCAAACACTCAGCCTCCAATTCCAAGTCATTACTTTAACTTTGAACGTAAGCCTTAAGTCCTATAAAATGATTCCTTGGTGCTCCACATTAGAAAGTTGCTCCCAAAGCAGCAAGATGCAAACGGCAGACGCACTTCATTTAGCAATGGTTTCATGACTGAACGACTTGGTTCAGAGTCGGGATCTATAAAAGGTTCCGCAAAACCATGCAGACACATTCAAATTATTACAGAGGATTAAAGGCTGGCGCGGGTGTGGGGCTGAGAGGGAAGACTCGAGGAGCCAAGGACTTCTAAGGATTTCACAACCCAAACGATTAGCATAGCTGTGGCAGCCAAGGAATTACTGGGCAAAGAGTTTGCCATCAGCAATGCTGATGGAAATCTAAAGCAGCATCCCTGACGTTAAGCCACAGGTGGAAAAGCACCACCAGGCCCAGGATCACCTCTCCAGATCTGTATAGTCTTCCAGCAGGTGAAGGCCAAAAGAAGTCACCCCTTCAAGGACCCGCTTTTCTCACAGGCACCCCTTCACATTCACACTCAATCCAGTGAGAAAATGTGGCTTGGATTTGGATTATTTGCTCCAACTGAAAGTTCCCGACCAGAGATAAGAGGAGCTTATCAAGCTAAGGGTGCATCTACACCAGGCATGGGCAAACTTGGGCCCTCCAAGTATTTTGGACTTCAGCTCCCACAATTCGTGACAGCCTCAGGCCCATTCCTTTTCCCCCTCAGCCGCTTAAGCAGCTGAGGGGAAAAAGGAAGGGGCCTGAGGCTGTCAGGAATTGTGGGAGTTGAAGTCCAAAACACCTGGAGGGCCCAAGTTTGCCCAGGCCTGATTTACACTGTAGAGTTAGTGTAGTTTGACACCACCCCTCAATTCTATGGGCTCATGGAAGTCAAATCGACAATCCCCATGACTCCACGAGCCCTGGCACTCAAAGTGGTGTCAAACTGCATGGATGCGATCTGTGTAGACGCACCCTAAACCATGCAAATAAACACCCTGTGTTGAAGGAGGGAGGGAAAAATACACTCCAGAAAAAAAATAAACTTCTTCCAACTTGGGACAAGTTGCCCAAATCTCTGTTCAACTCAAAGGGAGGCTCTGCCCAAGTTGGTGGTGTTCCATGGAAGAAAGAGTTCGGCTCCTGCTGGGGTTGGGAGGCCCAGAGGTGGAAAAGGGGGGTGAATCGGAAATGCTGCTCCCCCTTTTCTACCTTTGTCTGTCTTCCATGCCCTCACTTTTCCACTGGCCTCTTCCCTCCGCTCTGGTTGCTTTGGCAATCGATTCTGCCCGAAACGCGCCTGGAATGCGAATCGAAGTGCGCACCCCCTCTCCCCCCCTCCCCTCAATAAATTAGTGTAAACACGAGCGGGAGGAAGAGAAGGGAAAGGGGCACAGAATTAGATCCATGTGTCTGACAGAGGAGGAGGAGAGAAAGGGAGAAGGGTAGAGAAGAGAGAGAGGAGAGAAGAGAGAGAAAAGGWGAAGAGAGTGAAGAAAGAGAAAAGAGAGGCAAAGAAGGAAAGAGAAGAGAGAGGGAGTGAAGAGAGTGAAAAGAGAAGAGAAATAGTGAGGAKAAAAAGGGAGAAGAGAAAGGGGGAAAGAGAGAAGAGAGGGAGAAAGTGTGAGAAAAGAGAGAGTGAAGAGAKTTGAGAGAGAAGAGAGAGAGAAGAGAAAGAGAATTGAGAAAGAAAGAAGAGAGAGAAAGGGAAGAGAGGAGAAGAAAGAGAAGAGTGAAGAGAGAAGAGAAAGAGACGAAAGAGAGAGAAGAGGGGATGGACCCGGATGAAGGATTACGCGCGACGCTTCATTCCCGGAGGGAGGCCACTTCTTCGCAGAGAGTCAAAAGGAGTCTCTGTGCTTGGATGCGCTTGGTCTCCTTTCCCCCAAGAGAGAGAGCCAAAGAAACAAGGGGGATCGGGGTGGGAGAAGGCGAGGAGGAGGAGGGGAAGAAGGAGGAGGAGGAGGGTGGGCCCTCTTGAGCGGCGTCTCCCCGCCATTTCTTCGACCCTCCCCCAAAAAGTAAGAGGGAAAGGAAGGGGGGGGGGAGGAGAGGGGCTGCGCGTTTAAAGGGACCTGGCGCGGAGAGGGAGCCCGGCTGGGTCTACCCTACCACATCATGCAGTTTGGAACTGCAATGTCTAGTTCGGAATGGTTAGGTTGCACTCTAGGTGTAGATCCAGCCCGAGAGGGAAGGTCTGAAGTGTCTTGGACCAAGAAGGAGGGTTTTCCCGAAGTTGGAGCCTAGAGAAGGGATGTGCCCGGACAAAGGCTGGATCGAGACTGCAGAACGACGCAGTGTGGTATAACACAGTTCTGACACGGGTCTGCTCCCTATTGGGATCATGTTCCCAACTGCCCTCCAGACCCAGAGCCCCGCTTTGGGAAGGGAGGGAGGGAGGGAGGGAGAGGAGGGGGCTTACCTGCCCTTCCAGCTGCACAGGTCGCTGGAGTACTGCGCCGCGCAGCCCCGGTCCAGCGCCAGGAGGCCCAGGAGGAGGAGGAGGAGGAGCGGAGACGGGGCGGGCGGCAAAGGCAAGGGCAGCCCGGGCGCAGGGGCTCTCCGCATGGTCCCCGCCGGCTGCTCCGGGAAGGAAGGAGACCCCAGAGGCGGGCAAGGCGGGAGGCGAGCCAGGCGCGGGAGGGAGGGAGGGAGGGGAGAAGGGGGGCCGCTACATGGCCGGCCGGGGGCCCGAGCCAGGCGCCGCCGACAAACAGCCCTTCTCCTCGGCTCCACGGCTGACCGCTGCCTCTGCTCCGTCCCGCACTTCGCCGCCTCTTCTCAGCCAGCGCTCGCTCGCTCTGAGCTCCGAACTCAGCCCGGAGAAGGAGGGAGGGGGGCGGCGCCACGCCTCCTCGGGACCCGCCCCCTTCAGCCTCGCCCAAAGCCCGGGCCGGATTCTCTGCGGATCGGACTCCGCTCCTGCCTCCTCCTCGCCGCTGCCCCTTGCGTCGCTTCCAAGGGGCGCACCTGCCCTGGGAGGAGGTACGCAGTCGGGTACCACTCACACTGCCCTGGCTCAAGGCCCCGGGGTCCAGGGACATGGGCCCCTCCAAAGTCACCCAGACCTGTCCGTCCATATAGCCCAGAATATCGAGGCAGATAATCCACAATATCTGCTTTGAACCGAGGGCCCTTCCACACAGCCTTATATCCCAGAATATCAAGGCAGGAAATCCCACATTACCTGCTTTGAACTGGGTTATCTGAGTCCATACTGCCATATAGTCAAGTTCAAAGCAGACAATGTGGGGTTTTATTCAGCTGTGTGGAAGGGACAAGAATAATATTATTATTACACAGTAGTGTAAAAACAGTGTAAACATGCTGTGAGTGCAGCTTTTTTCCGAATGAAGCAGAGAGTGTTTGAGGACCAGGACATCCGCAGGGATACCAAGGTGCTTGTTTATAAAGCTCTTGTCCTCCCAACCCTGCTCTATGCCTGCGAGACGTGGACTGTCTACAGACGTCACATGCAACTCCTGGAACGATTCCATTAGCATTGCCTCCGGAAAATCCTGCAAATCTCTTGGGTAGACAAGCGGACAAATGTCAACATGCTGGAAGAAGCAAAGACCACCAGCATTGAAGCGATGCTCCTACGCCATCAACTCCACTGGACCGGCCACATTGTCCAGATTGCAGGAAAAGAGATTCAAAGATGGCTCAAAGCCAACCTTAAAAACTATGGCATAGACACTGAGAACTGGGAAGCTCTGGCCATTGAGCGTTCCAGCTAGAGGTCAGTCGTGACCAGCAGTGCTGTAGAATTTGAAGAGGCATGAATAGAGGGCAAAAGAGAGAAACATGCCAAGAGGAAGGCGCATCAAGCCAACCCCGACCAGGACCACCTTCTACTTGGAAACCGATGCCCTCACTGCAGGTGAATATGCAGGTCAAGAATAGGGCTCCACAGTCACCTACGGACACACTGCCAGGACACCGCACTTGGAGGACCATCATCCTCATTCAACGAGGAATTGCCTAAGTCAGTAAAGTAAGGTAGGGGTTATCTCAGAAGGGGATGAGTCTGCCTACTAGGGGCCCTTCCACACAGCCCTATATCCCAGAACATCAAGACACAAAATTCCACATTATCTGAGTGTGGACTCAGATAACCCAGTTCAAAGTAGATAATGTGGGATCTTCTGCCTTGATATTCTGGCATATGGGATTGTGTGGAAGGGCCCTAACAGAGCCTATCCTCTTTGGGTTTTAAAGGCTTCACAGGCATCATAGAAGAGAAAGGGTTGCCTTCCTTCGTAAAGAGGATGGGTCACTAAAATATTGTCTAAATCCTGAACTGCTGACTCTAATTGTTCATGGGAGTGGAAGTCCAATATTGTACACATTGTGCTTCTAAGAATATTGGAATTTGAGAATATTTCAAATATATTCAGTGTGGTTAAGCACAGAAAAATTCACTAAGTGAAAATGCCTAAATACTCTAAAGGCACCATATTCCGCCTGAACTGGGAGGCTCATTTTGAAAAATTTGGCTTGTTATGGAGACAAGAATTGGTAAGGTAATTTCAGTGGAGAGACTTTTTGCCCATGATAATAACTGTATTTCCCTTCCAATGTGTAGTTTTGTCTCACTTCTTATTGTTTCACCCAGTTTGTAAATAGCTGTTTGTAAATTGGATATTTGTAACTCGGGGACTGCCTGTATTCTTAGCCTAAGAAAATCCCAGGAATTCATAGGGTCACCAGAGGTCAACAGGATGCATTATTGTTGCATATACAAGGGTAGGTCAAAAAGTAATGCCTCCATCACTCAAACTTTTATTTATTTCACAGCTACTGGACTATCTATGCATGATATGATAGAGGTAACCTTACTCTGCTGACACAGCATTTTCTTTTTCTGATTGACTGATTAGAACCACAAATCTGAAGATAAAAGAAAGAGTCATCATTGAATTTCTGGCAAAAGGAGGTTGTGTACCTAAGGAAATCCATAACCCACCCGCATATATATAAAATAAATGTATATACATATGTACAATGATAGATAGAGGGTGATGTAGTGGTTTGAATTGTGGATTGTGACTCTGGGTAGCAGCATTCAATCAGCCATGGAAACTCATTGGGTGATCTTAGGCAATTCACTCGCTCTCAGCTTCAGAAGATGGCAAAGGCAAACTCCCTCTGAAGAAATCTTGCCACGAAAATCCCATGACAGGTTCTCCTTAGGGTTGCAATAAGTTGGATATAACTTGAAAGACCACAACAGCACACATGAACTGCTCTGGGAAGGATCTGCCAGACTAGGCTAGAGGGGCGTGTGTGCATATGCATATTCGCACATATTTAAAACATTATACTGGAGCTGGATCCTGTTAAAGGCTGTTAGATCCCAATTCCAGCAGCTGCAGCCAACCTGGCCAGTAGAGAAGGATTACATAGGCTTACAAAACTGAGGGTCATAAAAACATTTTTAAAATGTATATGGATTTTATAGGAATTTGGTGTTCTAAATCCAAAAATGATCTCAGATTTTCTCCATCGCATACATTTTTTTCACAACTAGCTTTGACGTATTTATGTTGCAATATGTGACTGAGTGAAATTAGTAATGAAGTTCATGAAAGAATTGTGGGTGGTACGACATTTTTATTGTGCTTTTCAAATTCAACACTCAAAAATACATTAAAACAGCTACAATATTAGAAAAATGTGTGTGTTAGTGTTTTAATCCAGGCCTGTGATAGCCGACATATTTGGAGAGTCTTAATTCCCCTAGTCCTGACCTACACTCCCCTTTTAAAATGAAGATTAAAAGTATGTTACAAATTAAAATACTACACATTCAAAAATGCCATATTGCAAGACAAGCAAAAGTTCATCAAGTAATTCCTAAAATAGCAGCTATGAATAAAACAATAGCTATGAACAGAGTTTTAAAAGGGACAGTATTCTACACAGGTGTGTATGTATGTATGTATTTTTTCCATTTATATACTGCTTTTCTTACTCCTGGGGAGACTCAAAGCAGTTCACAGCAAAGTAAATGGCAAAATTCAATGTGTCACAAAATAAAAAATAGATCATATAACTAAAATAGCATGTAACAATAAATTAAAACCAATAAACTATAAAACATCAGATATAGACAAACGTAAAACATAGAACATTTGACATTGCACCAATCCCGAAGTTGTCTTGACTACTTCATCTCACTCCCTTAATGCTTGCTTGAAAAGCCACATTTTAAGTTGTTTCCTAAATGCCAGGAAGGTGGGGGCCAGTCTAATCTCACTGGGGAGTCACAGCTGAGGGGCCACCACTGAGAAAGCCCTGTATCTTGTCCCCACCAGTCATGCCTGCGAGGGTGGTGGGACTGAGAGCAAGACCTCCTCATCCAATATTAATGCTCTAACTGGCTCGTAAAAAGAGATGCATTCAGATAGGTAAGCTGGACTGGAACCATTTAAGGATTTATAGGCTAAACCCAGCAGTTTGAATTGTGCTCAGTAGCAAACCGGAGCTGGCTCAGCAGGGGGGCAGTATGCTCCCTGTGTGTCACTCCAGATCGAAACCTGGTTGCCACCCGTTGGACTACTTGAAGCTTCTGAACAGTCTTCAAAGGCAACCCCACATAGAGCATGTTGCACTAGTCTGTTCAAGATTTAACGAGAGTGTGGACCACCGTGGCCAAGTCTGACTTCCCAAGGTATATCCCATCTGGCCCCAGTCATTCAGTTCTTTAGTTATTCAGAAAAGCCACCAATTATATAAAACCTGTGCTGGAGGAAGTCAGGACTGAAAATGAAGCTGGTGCATACTTAAACAGGAGTAAATGATATTGAACTTAGGGTGATGTACATTGCAGAATTACTGCCATTTGACATCACTTTAACTGCCATGGCTAAATGCTCTGGAATCCTGGGAGCTATAGTTTGGTGAAACACCAGTCCTCTTTGGCAAAAAAGGTTAAAGGTCTTGTTAATTTACACTTTCCAGGATTCCATAGCATTAAGCTGCGGCAGTTGAAGTGGTAGCAAGCTGCATTAATTCCACAATGTGAATGCACCCATGGTGGGCCTTCAGTATTAAGATCAATGTTATGGGGTTCACAGCACTTGCCTATCTGGGGAAAAGAACAAGGTAGCACATGCCCCTTTTTCTTTTCATGTAGAGACATGAGCTGGTGTGGCAATCAAACATTGCTTCAATACTGATTGTGTGGTAATTTTCTCCACACCACCTGAAAGCATCAGGCTAATTTAAGAGCATTTCAGGCTATGTGATGAAAATCGTCTTCAAACATAAAACCACAGAAATAACCCCAGCAACTGCCACTCAAGGCATTTGCCTCACTTTGCCCAAGGGTAGGGCTGGCCCAGTGTGGCCTTTACAACACACACTAAATTAATGGAAACAGAAATCTTATTTGGAAAGAAAAAAACAACTAATGAGTACTATTTATTGTGAAAGAATAAGGCATACAATTACAGAAATACTCCAGTTAGCAAAATACAGTACATGCTTTCCTGGACATTGCACCTTTAACAGGAAAATTGGTACCTGAGGCAGAAATAACATAGAAAGAATAGGAATAGTTTCCTAGACCACAAAACAAAACAAGCAGTTTGACAGGTTTTAGCACAGGCTTTATTCCACGCTAACAACATGCACAAGTAAAATGAAACACCCAGGTTAGGTTACCCTTGTATAAGAAAAGGAAAACATTTTGAACCTTCTCAAGACCATGTGACAGTTCCTTTAAAAAACTACCCAGGGGCAGTGTTTTTCTTTCACAAATCTCCACTTTTCTTATGATTTGCAGAAAGATTATTTTTTAAAACATGT